CTTCAGGAAATATCTGTTTAATGTGATCGTTCAATTGTAGGAGATTAAAATGTTTTTTCAGAATTCGTGAAACGTTTTTGAGTTTAAACTGATAGGTAATAATAAGAGGAATCCTATTTGAAAGTTTAGTATTACTCTGATTTAAGATGTTTTTCAATTTGTCTATTGATTTTAGTATCTTTATATCCTCTTTGTAACATAGTTTGTTTTAAATCCTTGGTGTGTTTTCTGTCATCTGTTTCATTTGAGCATACTTTCTTTATTCTAAGAGCTTGACTGTAGGTAATGTTTTGTTCAGTGTAAGAGGGGTGACAGCTTTTATAATGAAGGTATTGTGGTCTGTCTGTAGGTTTTTTTTTGTACAAGTTCATGTGTAAAATTCTTATTTTAGAAAAACAGTTATGTCAAGAAAGTTAATCTGGGTAATTATGGGTAAACTGTTTTGTGAAAGGAGTTTGCATGTGAGATAAATTCTTTAAGTGATTTAAGACCGGCTGTCCAAATGAAAAATATGTCTATTTAACGTTTCCGTGTATGAGGTTTTACACACCTTAGTTGTAAAGACTGGTTTTCAATATGACCCATAAAATCTGTTGGCATAATTGGGAGCCATTTTGGTACCCATTGCAGTATCGTTAACCTGAATGTAATGCTTGTTATTGAATTCGAAGTTGTTCAGAATTATCAAATGCTGAAAGGTTTCTTTGTTAATTTTACTGTTTTGGAGGAGTTCTTTAAGCTCATCAGTTATGGTCTTAATAAAGTGAGTTGTAGGATCATGTGAGAATTTTTTGTAGAAATTAATGTCTTCTAGTTGCCGGTTAACTTCCGTGATATAGTCATCTTTGTTAATAACAATAGCTCCACCCTTGTCTGCTGGCTTTATTATGATATTGTTGTTCTAAAATTGTTTAAAGCACTTCTTTCATTTTGGTTAATATTATTAGGACATTGCTTGGAATATTTTAAGGTCTGTGTTATGTCATTTTCTGCTGCTTTATTATAACTCTAAATGTGGTTCTCTGTTTGGTGTAGGTGTTCATAAAGACTTTTCTTTAAAGTTTGGTGAATGTTGATTTTCAGTAGGGTGGGGTTTGTTGTGAAAAAATCCACAAAGTCTTAATTTTCTAGAGAATTCACGAAGGTCAGAAAGAAGTTCAGGCTCATTAACATAACTGTTATTTGGGCAGAAGCTGAGACTTTTACGAAGAATACTGAGTTTTGCTTAAGAGAGAGTTATGTCTGAAAGATTAACAATGTTAGAGATATGTTGGAAGTGTTCATCGTTATCTGTACGTTTTATGAGATCACTGTTATTTTCAACAGATTTGTTAATTTGAGAAGGCTTATGCGTGTTAGAGGATGAAGTGTTTTTAAATGTTTTTTTGGGCTGTTCATTGTGAGATATAGGAATCTTGGTAGTTTTTGGTAGACTGCTTAATGTTATGGTAGTTTCTTTAGGACAAAGAAGAGGGTTTGAAAGAATGTTGTTAGAAGAGCTTTTTGAATTGGTGTTATTGGTAGGAGGCTGATTTTTGTTATTCTTTTTGAGAAGGAATATATATATATGTTCTCTTTGTAAACTTTTGTTGTTCTTTATTTTCTTCCAGCGAAGGGTTGTACAGGTGATAATAGTGGGAAATTTCTTTATCTAAAATTTTGACAGAATATTTTAGTGATATTCATGAGTTCTAAGAAGGTGTTTTCAAGGATCTGTTGTCATTTGTTGCAGAAGTTCTGATCATATGCTCCTATTGTTATTAGTGCTTTTAATGCGAGAGATTGAAGTATGTTTCAGTTTTCTATGTTATGCACTAGCGATTTGGCATGTTGACAATGTTTTGTGCATTTCTCAGTGAGTTTTATAAGTTTTTGAAATAGTTGTTTTCTGCTGTAGTTGAGTGATTTGCCGCTTGGTTCATGTTGAATGTTGACAGATATTGCATTGTCTCTTGGCACTTCACATAGCACAATTATCTTTGAGTAGTGCTGTACCCTACAGTATGTTGTGGCATTTTCCTTTAAGGTTTACGTATAGTTTAATTAGTGAGTATTAGTCTGTAATCTTAGTTTAAGTTATCATTTTTATTCTGTTTTCTATGCTTCAATTCATAAAATCTTAATTTTATTTCATTAATATTATTGAGCCATACCTTTCTACTTCGTAGATTGTGATACAAATACTGTTCTAGTTAGCCAGTTTCTAGCAGTCTGGGTTTTGAGTTTATGATGATTCATGTGTGATAGATCTTGCTCTATCACTTTGCCATGTTTCTAAAGTAATCCAGATGACCTATGCTGGATTCCTTTTTTGTTTGCAGTCTTCATTCATTCATCTAATTTCTTGACTTAAAATTTTCTGTGTTTTGTATAGGTTTGAGGATTCTAGAAATTTTTCATTTCTGTCCTGGAAGGTATCTTCCATTTTATATTTCTTTGATCAACAGATATTATTAATTTTCATATTTCTTGCCAAAGTTCGTCTTTTTTTTTTCTGTAAAGATATAATTGGGGAGTTTTGATTAGAATCATGCTTTTGGTATTTAAAACATGTATGTTTATCTTTGTTGCCCTGTGTTTTTGACCTTAATGTTTCTCTCTCTCTTGTGCTAAACTTCTGTCCTATGGATGGTCTGGTATCTTGTAAGTGGGAAAGATTGTTCCTATTTTTATAACATTATTATGAGGGTTTCAAAGATCATGATTCTTTACCTTTAACCTTATTATATGTATGGAATTTTTGGGTTAGACAGGCTACCCTTAGGATTGTACATCAAAACCTGTAGTGTATTTGGAGACTGTTGACAGTCTCAAAATAAGTTTATTTTGAAGTTTTGTACTTAAAAACTTTGATTATTTGAGTGTTTTAATTTTTATTTACATGGGTACCTTGAATTTTTAGACTTTTATTACACTTGATTTTTGTTCCAGAAGTGTAATGGTTTTATGAGAATGTAAGTAACATGTAGTAGCTTATTTTTGTACCTTTTACATGTATAACAGTAAATTTTGCTTGAATGTATGTGAGGTAATTCAATAAGTAAGTATAAATTTCATTCATGTGCATTATGAGAGACAAGTTTTAATGACCTGATCTGTACACTGGGTAAGTTTTCATCTAGTTGTTAATAGAATGTAATTGTTATTTAAGATATAACAAAGCATACATTTATGTTTTTTTGTAACTTATTTCTTTAAATTTTTAGGAGGACTGGACAGTTTGTTCACGGTGTGAAACTTATAGACCTCCTCGAGCACACCATTGTCGAATCTGCCAGAGATGTATTCGCAGGATGGATCATCACTGTCCTTGGTAAATTTATAGTTTCATTTAGATTTTGAATTTTAACTCTATTTGGTAACAGTTAAACTTGTTGTCTGATGCTTTGACAGTACTTCTAGTGTCATTAAGTATATAGTTTCAATTTAAACATAGTATGTGTCATGGAAGTATGAGTGATTGTCAGGATTGTTTGTTGATTCATTCAGTAATATAATATACATTTATAACCAAGTTTTCTGATAAGTACCTTACTTCTTCTCACATAATAGCTTTTCTCTTTAAGTGCTGCCCTCAATATGCAAAATTAGTTTGCATGCCACTAGCCTTAAAACACCCATCCACTTCATGATCAACATGGTTTACTATGTTTTTGCATGAAAGTTATCATGTGACAACCCTCCACCAATAGGAGTGCAACAGACTTTCCTGACGCACGTTACTCCCTCCATTTGATTCCATCTTACCATCACTTCTTGTCAACCAGTTGTCTACTGCAGATGTTTTGAATTTGTGTTGATTTATGCGATAATTTCTTTCTTTTTTCGAAGTAGTACTTTAATGTTTCCTTCTATTTCTTTTTTCCTTCAGTTTGTTCTCTGTAGTTTATTGCCAAGTAAACTTACCTTTGGTTTGTCTTTTTTTTTCCCCTACTTTTTCTTGGATATCAACTCGTTCACAATTGATTATGACCTCTGAATTACGTGTCAGGACTTCAGCTATTGTTACTACTACTTCAAGTGTCATGACAGGCTTCAGGAACAGGGATCTCAGCTGAGGATTTTTTGGCCATCGTTTGTTGATAGATTGAAATTTACAAGTGTTAGCCCTCTTCTATCACCACTGTCCGGGATCCTCCTGTCCCTGTAGAACCTGTTCATGATGATGAGGATTTTGACAGCCTTTTTCCACCTCCAATCTATGCTGTGCACGCCAGAGCCTCTCCTGAGGAATCAGCCAGGCCACCCTTAGCTTTTTGGATATGATTTCTCAGGCTTGTTACGTTTTATCCTTTTTTAAAATTCTAATTAAATCTTCTGGTTCTTTATAATGAAATGGTAGTACAGTGAGAGCCTGAAAAGTATTATAACCATCTTGTACCGTCAGACACATTATGCCAGTTATGTGGATACTGTTATTTGACCAAGGCTACTTCCCAAAAACTTTCAAGGTTAATAGATCTAGGAAGATGAGTGATATAGTTTACCAAAGTATTATTAGCAAAATCATTCATAGAACTCTTACTAGGTAACGTCATATACAACTAATCCATGTTAAATAATGAGAAATATAGTTATACAAATAATTTTATCAGATCTGTTTGAGGGATCCAGCTATTAAATTTATCAAGATATCCTTTCTGTTTTGCAAAATTTTATTTGTTTTTGCCCCTTCTTCGTTCACATAATATTTTTTCGATGGTGTAGATGTCATTGGGAGATTTTATAACTCTTTGTAGTTCAGATTCGTAAAATGTTCCATTTAAGTTTTTTCAAGATAGTCTTGCAGTTCATACACTGGTGGATTTCTCTCTATTCTCTGGTAAGTCGTAAATATTTTGTCTGTCCATCCTAGCATATAACCTTTCTTAAATGGACACTTCACTGTACTAATACTTACTTGATTGCTTATTTAGAACTGAAATTTTAACTTAGTGTGTGTTTTGTAAAGTGTTTTCTACAGATTTATTAGAGATATTAATATCTATTGGTCTCATTTTGATGCTGCAGTGATATGATTGACTGAGCACTGACCAGATGTTTCAATATAGTGATATATTTATAAGTTCCACAATGAGTAAAGTAGTGCCACATTCTAGTTTTAAGAGTGTGATTAAATCCTCCTGTTATAGACACTTTTGTTTCATTATGTGTAGTAAAGAAATGAATGTCTTGTTCTTTGAGATATCATTGAAAGAGACGATTAGTAAACTGTGTTTCAGTGTTGGTTTGAAGTTTACAAGGTTTTTGACCCTGTTTTAAAATTTGTTTGAAAGATTTTACAAGTGTTGCCCATTTCTTATCATTGAGTGGAACAACCCATGCATATTTAGAAAACACGTCAATACATGTGAGTAAGTACTTAAACTGGTTATTATATCAACTAAAGTTAGAGAGATCCACCAAATCAGCCTGCTATCAAGTTTAATAGGATTTCAGCTTTCTTTTTATATTTCTGAGGAACACTGTCGATGATCTCTAGATTTTCATGAGTGGGGGATTCTATGTCTGATGACATTGTTGCAGTTTGTTCATCATCTTCACTTTATTGTCTGTGGGTAATGTATCATTTAGTTTGACTGAATTCGTATCATTATCTACAGAGTTTTAAACTTTATCTACCATCCTTTCATAAACTTTGGATTGATAAAGAGAATGTACCAGTTCTTCAGGAATGAGAATTATTCGTTTTGCCATATTTTTAGATTCCAGCAGCTTTGCCAATAGCCCATCCTGCCAATCCACCAAACAATGAAAGTATTGGTGCTATAAGTAATGGTAAAAACCCTTATTTCTGTATTAGAAAGTTTCTTTTCTGTTTAATTTATGTTTGCTTGACAGCCATCTCTCTCAATAATGACTTGTATCATCTAAATTTCTGCTTATGTATGTTTGTCATGTAAATGTTACCCTTTAAAACATTTGAAGAACATTCACAAATACTCAAGATATTTTTAGCTCAGGCAATTATTTCTTTAACTTCAAGAAAAAGTCTGGACCTCGGACGGATCTGTTCAGGCATTTGTGGTTTCAAATCGATGAGTAAGTAGCCATATGGTTGTCTCGTTGCATCTTGATAAATTTCTCCAAAGTATTTGACACGTGATGGAAACATTTGTCTCGCTTAAACATTTAACCAAGATTTGTCTCTGACATTATTGAACAAAATGACATATTGAGAATTTACACTAGTATTATGCATTTCTCAACTCTGATGAAATTGATTCTGTAAAATATAAAACATTGATAAATTCCACTTGTAAATAGTTGAGACACTTATTTATTTTCTCAACTTTCACTAATAAGATCATCAATGATAAAAATATTTTTTTATCAGACCATAACTAATCATGAAAATTTTCAGGTGAGCCCTCGATAATTTGAATGTTAGGAATATTTTATGTTAATTTTGTATACAGTGGTTGAAATTCACCATAAAATCATATGATATTTTCAGGAATAGAATTGATAACTTCATGATGATAAGTTAAAACTTTGCTTACAAACTGTGATTTACCACTTCCTGTCAGACGTGACAATAAACACCTAAAAGGGTGTAGTAGACAGTTATCCATCTCAAATTCTAATGAGAAATAAATGAAACGGGACTCACCTTATACAGATCGTGTTTGAGTGCACTTGTGATATTCCCCTCAAGATAATGGAAAGGAATTAGCTCCATAAAATGAAAAAAATCAATATCCATACGGAAGGGTGTTAAAAGTCTGGAAGGATGTGTCTTTTGGTGTAAACTGGATGATAATTCTTCTTTTCTTCCTTGTTGTAAACAGTGTGTGTCTTTTGGTGTAAACTGGATGATAATTCTTCTTTTCTTCCTCGTTGTAAACAGTTTGTGTCTTTAAATCTCTACAAATCTTCTTATGATTAGTCACGGTTGTAGGAGGCTGAAAAGGACTGAATATATCTGTTATCTTACATTTCATTAATGAGAAATTGAATTTTTTGCTGTTGATAAAATTGAGGGTAAACCTTCTAATTATGCAGCATCACTTTCTATTGTCGCGTAAGTACCTGTAGTTTTTTATACCACCACTGACCCACATTGTTATATTGTATCCGTGTTGTTCATCTGTAAACTCACTAAGATAATTCTCTAGAGTGGGATCATTAAATTTGCCTGAAATTTATACAGTACTGTCAGTATCATAATACAAAACAGATGAACATAATTTCTCTAGTCTATGATATAACTTCAGACAAGTAAGTACTGTTGTGAAAGCTGCCAGAAAGATAATGGTTTGACCTTTCTAGGGCAGATATTCATATTTGTGTTTCCAATGAAGAGCTCTTACTTTTTTATTAATCAGTATAACATCTATTATTAATTTGTATTATCATTCATTAATGAATGGTACTCTTTAACAGATGTTACATAGATAAGTTGTGGTTTCTCCTCAGACATATCCCAACGTACTAAGAAAAGAATTAAGACATAATTTTGCAACTGACCTTTTTCCTTGATTAAAAAGTATTTTCAGGAGTCAGTTGCTCTCCTTCATTTTTGTTATATTGGTCAACATAATACTGCTTTGCCTCAGATATTATACAGTGAGAGGGCCAACCAGAACTTTCTTGCTTTAATTGAAGAAACTTATCAATGTAGTTCTTTAAAAGATCTCTAGATTTGACAGGAAAATGATAAATCTCATATATATATATTCTTATTACCTAGTATCCACACTCAACTGCTTTCTTTACTTCTTCTCTGACACAAGTACTGATGTGGTTACATGGTGGCGGTGATCTAGATTCCACACATGATCCACATAATGGAAAGGTTAATTTACCATTATATCTAAATGATAAAACTGGATAATACAGTTTCATTGGGTCTAGAATTTTACATTTTATAAAACCAAAATAATTACTTAAATTAGAGAAACGTTGTTATTATTGTGGGATGTCCAACTGTAATCTCATAATATTTGTTTGTCCATGGATATAAGATTTAAAATTCATGTACTTGATCTTTTCTCCTTCGTTTATATTATGTAAATGGCATGTCTCGTTGACTCTCCCTCCATAGAAGACTTCTCGTACATCCATGCAGGAAACTACTGTATGGTCCCTAAGGAAATTCTTTAAATCTGTATTGTTACACTTCATTTTCTTAAACTCATGCTCCCTTATTATTATGACCTTGTATCCTAGAGCTTTGAATTGTTTCTGTCTTTCAAATGTTTGATTTCCAATAAACTGCATGGGTCTGTTTAGAACTACGTTCTTTGTGTCAGAGCCATAACATTTATTACAACCATGGTAATAGTACCCATAAAACTCAGGTTGTGTTTT